ACCACTAATCATGAGATCACAACCTGAGCCAAAATCAGGAGTCAGATGCTTAACTGAGACACCCAGGCGCCCTGTGGGCCTTAGTTTTTTCCATCTGCAAAAGGGAGTTGATACATTTTGGTACTTGCCTCACATACTTCCAGCAATCAATGAGACAGTATGGTTAAGTGCTTAACAAATGTTAACAAGTAGTATGAAGTCCATATAGGTTTAGTATTCATGAGCCATTTTCTTTTCTAGCAAACCTACCCATTGGACTCTTGCTTCCCAATGTTGAGACCTTTTGAGGCCACAGTTTTGTTCTTAGACACCGTTATTTCTCAGAACAAGTTCCAATTGCATTGGGAAGCCAATTTGCAAACCACATAAGGAAAATGTTGCCATTATCTTATGTCACAGTTTGTTTTGGACTCTGAATAGTATCTTCTAGCTTATCGGATCGACAGTGATGATGTTTTGACTGGTAAAAATATGTATTTCTACACGTGAAGGATCTGTCAATGCCGAGACTTTAACTGAAAACTTTAACAGAAAGTTTAACTGAAAGACTTTAACAGAACTGTGTCTCCATCTTAGTTGCATTGGTGTAGTTTTGTGCAAATGTTCTAACCTCTCTAAGACTTGTCTCCTCCATAAAATGGGAAGATATTACTTTTAAAGGCTTTATATAAGGAACATGAGTAGTATGTGGAAAACACCCAACACACAGTAGAAGCTTAATTTACAGTAAGAGTGATTATTGTTTACAATGTCTTGATGCGAAGGTGGAGATATGCTTTCCATTCTAAGGTGACTTCAACGAATTTGAGAATTAGAAGAGAATTCAATAGGCCTGTGCAAGGATAATCTTCAAAAGAAAAAATAAGCAACAGAAATAGTGATAAAGGAGGCATGCAAGAAGGTCTTGGGGTGAATTGACTACAAACTGTTTTCAAGTCAGCCATACGGTGTATTGTTTTTTAAAAGAACCACAATCCTAGGAAGTGTAAAGGAAAAACAGCCTTCAGTTCTGGTCAGCTTGATTGTAACTGTTTTGGAAAGCACCTTAAAATAATTTGAAAAAAGAGGGAGAGAGAGAAAGTTTGATAAAGAAAATGAAATGTGAAGTTTTTAAGTAAAGCTGAGTAGAAGACTCTTGGCACCTGAATGTTAACAAGGATTGTTTGTTTGTTTGTGGATGTCCTTTCCACAACATGCTACCTATGGCATTTGTTTCCTATTTTCCCACTCCTTTTTCTTACTTTCTATATTGTTTCTTTTTTCCTTTCCCCTGCCTATGCCTTTGAACTGTGCCTGGGAGAGCTTGTCCTTGTTAGTGGTAAGTGAAGGCACTTTGAAGAGGCTTAATTGATGCAATTGTGTTTGGAGTCTCAAGTATAATTGATCTAAGGGTCCAGTAAGAAGGGTTGATACATTAAAAATGTTTTTTTTATGTTTATTTATTTTTGAGAGACAGAGAGAGCAGGGGAGGGGCAGAGAGAGAGGGAGACACAGAATCCAAAGCAGGCTCCAGGCTCTGAGCTGTCAGCCCACAGCCCAATGCGGGGCTCAAACCCACAAACCACGATGTCATGACCTGAGCCAAAGTCAGACACTTAACCGACTGAGGCATCCAGGCGCCCCAAGGAGGATTCATCATTTTAAACACTCTGTTAATTTCAGTTTGTAAGTATAAAAGTCAAAGCTTCGATTTGTTCAATTTGAATATTCTGGTGCCCTGGAATTGTTTTGAGAAGCAAAAGCATGTTCGTTACTGTATCAGCTCAGACCACAGGTTTGGTCTGTGACAGGTAAGGGTTGAAAAATGGCTTGGCTGCACTGTGTTACCTCATCTCAAAAGATTAGGGATATAGCTGGTGTGCTCCTTAACAGCTCACTTTTATTATGTTTATTTATATATCTGGCCTGATTTGTCAGCTTGAATTAAGCTCTTAGGGGATAGAGAATGTGTTTCATTCATTTTATATTCTCTACTTTTTTTTTTTAATGTTTATTTATTTCTGAGAGGGAGACAGGCAGCATGAGCAGGGGAGGGGCAGACAGGGAGACACAGAATCCGAAGCAGGCTCCAGGCTCTGAGCTAGCTTTCAGCACACAGCCGAAGTCGGACACTTAACCAACTGAGCCACCCAGGCACCCCTATAGTCACTTCTTTTAACACAATGATTTGACTGCAGAGGGCATGCAATACATACTTGTGGAATATCAAATTCACAAACACATACACACACACATTTTTATTTTTTTGCAATCCAAAGCTCCAATGACCGTATTTTCCAAACTAAAAAATCAAGATACATGGTCTGAAAAGGTGCAGTACATTTATGAGGACTGTATGGCCCAAATACTTGACATGTTATCCCAGAAAATATCAGATGATGGAATCACTTTCATTGCAGTATTCAGCCCAGGGGTTCTTATCCTATAGTCCGTGGACTTAAAGGAGTCTCTAGATGGAAGCAAATGGTTTTTCAACTTGGATGGAAAGAAATATCATCTTTCTTTTCAGCAACGTCCAACGGAAACTCAGCATTTTCCGCCATTGTGAATGCGAGCAACAAACCACAGTAGAATTAGCACCTTTCACTATCACCAATAGAAATCACAGACATTTTCATATCATATTATAGTTATCATGGGCTTCTTGAATACCTTCTCATGACTGCTTTAAAACTTTAGTAGTTAGAGAGCCTGGGTGGCTCAGTTGGTTAAGTGTCTGACTCTTGGTTTGGGCTCAGGTCATGATCTTGCAATGATAGGTGAGATCGGGCCTGAGTCCCACTCTGCACTCTCAGCACAGAGCCTGCTTGGGATTCTCTCTCTCTCTCAAAATAAAAAAATTTTGAAGAGAAAAAAAAGAGAGTTTTAAAAAGTTAAAAAATAAGGGGTACCTGGGTGGCTCAGTGACTTCGGCTAGGGTCAGATCTCATGGTTCATGACCTCACGGTTGGTGAGTTTGAGCCCCGCGTCGTGTTCTGTGCTGACAGCTCAGAGCCGAGTCGGCCTCAGATTCTGTGTCTTTCTCTCACTTTACTCCTCTTCCGCTCATGCTCTTTCTCAAAAATAAATTTAAAAAAAATTTCAGTAGTTATTTGACCTACTGCAAGATCTTGATATTTAATGTTATTAAAGAAAACAGATTACTGTATCACAAATCTGTTCTTAAAATATATTTCCTAATTGCATTTCAATATAAAGTTTCTTTTGTAATGCTATGTATTTTAAAATCTAGAAAAGATCCACAGCTCTTCTCAGACTGTCAAATGACACTAAAAAGATTAAGAACCTTGAGCTAGAAAAAGGTTAATGAAGTTTAAGCTTTGAGGTCCCTCACTTTTACCGTGCCCTTCCAACATTGTGTTTTTCAATTTGCATGTTTCATTTTATGTTGTTTCTTACAAAGATCCCAGCATTTGTGTAAATTTCACAAATACGAAACTTGGATCCACTGAGACATTTAGCTTGGTACTGGGCACAGAGTAGGTTTTAATTTTTTAATTTTAAAGTTTATTTATTTAATGAGAGAGAGAGAGAGGGAGAGGGAGAGGGAGAGGGAGAGCGAGCGCACAGAAGGGGCAGAGAGAGAATCCCAAGCAGGCGAACTGTCAGCTCTGGAGCTCGAGGCTCGGCTGGAACTAACGAAGTGTGAGATCATAACCTGATTCGCTATCAATAGTCAGACACTTAGGGATGCCTGGTGGCTCAGTCTGGGTGGCTAAGGGTCTGATTTTGGCTCAGGTCATGATCTCACAGTTGGGGAGCTGGAGTCCCACGTGGGCTCTGTGCTGACAGAGGGGAGCCTGGAGCCTGTTTTGAATTCTGTGTCTCCTGCCCTCTCTGCCCCTCCCCCCACAAATAAATAAACAAACATTTTAAAAAAGAGTCAGATGCTTAAAATCACCCAGGCGCCCCCACAGAACAGGTTTTTAATAATTAATTTGGGGCTGAAAAGTTCTGAGAAACTTAAACGATCCTCTAGCGTACCTGGAAATCCTGCAGACCACTGCTTGACCTCCCGTCTCTAAGAGTAGCGTATTGCATGTTGGTTGGGGGAGGGAAGAGCTTGCTCTACAGAAGTGGGCTGGGAAGGTTGTGGGAGGAGACAGTTTCGGACTAAGGCGAGGATAGGGAACAAACCAGTAAGGGCAGAGGGTTAAGAATCAGGAATTTGCTTCCTTTGGGACTTAGCTCTTTTCTCTGCACAGCTCTTCTGGCTTCTCGGGTGCATACGTCTGCCTTACTACTTTATAAAAATTAGCTTCAAACCCTGTGGGGAAAAAGGTCCCTGCTCCAGCACGTGTGAGTTAACACTGCTCCTGGCTAAGGCCAACTTTAGCGATTTCCCTCACGTTCTGAGCTGACCCAATGATGTATGCAAGGGAGCCAGGGGGGCAGTTTTCCGATCGTTCCAAGGGATGATTTTCTCTATGAAACTCTACACCCAGACGGCCGGCCAAATCGTTCTTAAATCGTGTTCCAACCAGAGCCCAAAAGACGATCCAAATGGAGGCCCGACCGCGTGGCGGTGGGCGTGTCTGGGGCGAACGCCGGCGGCGCGAGGGGGATTAGGGACGCCTCGGCGCCGGCGAAGGGACGGGAGGGCCGCGGCGGAGCGAGGCCCGCGGGGACGGTAGGGGGCGGGGCTCCGGAGGCGGCCACGCGGCCCGAGGCCTAGCTTTTCGGTCTCGCACGGGTGGCAGACGAAAAGAGAGGAGCCCCGGCAACCCAGGGCCTGGCGCCCCGCAGCCTCGCGTCTACCCGAGGCTTCACCACAGACCCCTTTGTGTTCCTGCCCCCGCCCCGGAGGCGCCCCAGCCGGCGGCGCTGACTTCGCTCATTGGCTCAGCCGACGGCTTCATCGATTGGCTCCCTTGTCCTCCTGCGCGAGCCGCTGCTTCTCGCTACGATTGGACGCCTGGGCTGCCTTTCAGGTCGCCGCGCGAAGTGATTGCCCGGCCACTCGGAGTCCCTGGAAGCAGTTCCGGGAAACCCCGCGTGCTGCTGGGATCGCGTCTCTGTCCATGAGGGGGGGAGGGGGTGGCGCGCGCGCCATTTCTAGTCGTTTTCAAAGCGCCTCGCGCTGATTCTCACGGGCCCGGCCGGCGGCCCCAGCTCTGCCCTGGTGAGTCTCGCGCCGGCCCGTGGGGGGAGGGGCCGGGAGCCCCGATCCGACCCGACTGAGCCCGTCCCGGGCTCGGCGCCTCGGCCCCAGTTTCGTTTTCGCACCGAGGCCCCGGGGGTGGGGGTGGGGATGGGCTGGGGGCGGTTGCGGCTTCGGCCTCGTCCTGCCGCGCCGCGGAGGGCCTAGCCCCGCTGAGGCGCCTCCTCGCCCTTCGGCGCATCCTCCCCGCCCCTCCACCCCTCGGCCCGCCGGGTGCTCTCCGCGCGGCCTGTTGGGGACGGCCGTGTTTTTCCCGCCTCCGCCCGCCGCTCCACGCGGCCGGCCGGGCGGCCTAAGGCTCCCGCGGCCCCTTCGTCTCTCCCTTCCCGAGTCGCTTCGCTCTCGTGTCGGCCGGCCTCGCCAGGAGTGGAAGGTGTTGCCGATCGGGACGGGCCCGAGGGGGTGGGGTGGGCAGGGGGCGGGATGCAAAGCTGGGGTTACCTGAGCCGGGAGAAAACTTTTGTGCGAGCTGGAGCCCGGGGGCCGATGTGTGTAGGAAGCCTTGCCCCCCTCCCCCACGCTGCATGCTGCGAGCCGAGATTTGAAGGAAAAAATGACTACTAGAGGCCACGAAACTTAGGCTCCGAGCGGCGCCTGAGATGCACAATTCTGAGACTGTCACAGGCGCTCTAAATTGGAAGGGCGATTCTTTTTCTTAGACGGCAGTAACCGTGTTGCCAAAATGTGAAACTTAAAGCCAAGGGGTTCTTGAAGGGCTCGGTCCTTTCACACGGACCTATTTGAGATTTTTGCTGTCCTCCAGAGGCTGGATTTACGTCTCGTGAGTCAGTCGTAGGATAAGGGCTTGACACTCCTGGCCCAGGAGCTAACCGTTAGTTTTCATGTCGTGGGTTCTTTTAAAGCCCGTCTCTTAATATGAAGAATGTGCACAGAGATGTTCAGAAAAAGTCAGGGAGGGGCTAGTGCCGACTTCCCGAATCTCCCAGCAGCCCTTTTAAATTCTTATTTAAATGTTTCCTTTTTGCAAAAATGCTTATCAAATGACGCTAGTCACAGTACATTTGCTGCATCCAGAAATATGGTTTGGCTGTGTGGCATTGTGTTGAATTGACACAAGAGTGTTAAACGATCTCCTATGACATAAAAGACTTTTTTTAAACGAGCACATTGCATTTGGCTTGAAGAGAGAGGTTTTTCCTTGGTCTGAAAGGTTTTATTTTCTGGAATCTAATTATTTCACCTTTTTTTGTTGTTGTTGCTAACGTTTACAAACTTTTTGAAAATCCCGACCAATTTCAGAATCAACTTGTAGGAGAGCTTTTGCAATGAAATGATAGTCATAAATGTTTCTATCTTGTGCTTAATACACAACTTGTCTTTTTGCTTTACATATACTTAAAAAAAATACCACCTTACCAGATGTTCATTGAACTTTTCTGTTAAAAATTTGCTTCTTTTCTGTGGCTAATAGAATTCCCAGGTGCAATACTGTAAGGGTCTTGTGATACTGAACTTCTGAGTTCTGATGATCTTATGGTTGTATTTGGGGATGGGGGAACATGGGAAAACAGAACTATATGTTCGCAGAGATTTGGACTTTAGAGTGCATCTTTATAGAAATAGGTTGTATTAATCAGTAAACGTATTCATCTTACACTGTAAGTAGTTTCTTGAGCAAGTGTGCCAGTTTTGAATGTTTTCGTTTTTTGCCAATTCATCAGAATTTGAGGCTTGCCTTGAGAAACATTTCTCCACCCAGAGTTGAACCAGAGTCTGCGTCTATATAGACATTAGTGGGCTATCAAGTCTTATTGTTTGTAGTCATAAGTCATACTTCTCTTATTTTCAGAATAACCCTTTCTGCATTTTCCTCTCTTCCTACGATTACCTCCTTCCCCTTGGTCTTCCTTCCTTTTTCATTAATGTCAACTAAATATCCGTGGACTTTGAAATGAAAAGAAGTTGTTACATAGGTCAGAAAACTGCACCTGGTGCATTTGCACAGTGGTTGATAAGCAATTTGGAAGTGTGGTTATCTTGCGGGTTTTAGTGATTTTTAGGAAGCTTGTATTTTCTTTATCGCTAACTAGGGTACCTTGAGGTTCATCAAGAAAAGTAGGCTTCTTCTTGAGATCCACCTTCATGTCCTTTATTTCAGTATTTGTTGCAGTGTCTTTATTCTGCTGCTTATTATCTTCATCACATTCACTACAGATGAGTGCACTTTATTAATTCCCTGTCTTTTGAGGCACTATAGAGACTGGCCTTGTATGGTTTTATTATCTAATCTCTCTCTTAAGGGAGTTGGTCCATTTCAGCATTACATACAGGTTGAACATACAAAAAATAATTTGGGTAGGTTAATCTGGGACATCTGACCTAAGTTTACCCTAATTTAGGTAATGTTTGTTGAAACTATTTCGAAGAAGTTAGCTGTCCATTCTTCAATATGTTTTTGCAGCTTTATTTTACTGACATCAAAAATTCAGTATGTACTCATGATTTTTTTTTAAAGAAGCAACCTCAATTATAGCTTATGTTTTATTTTATGTGGACTTAACACAATCGTTTAGCTTTTAACCTTGGTCATTTTTTCTTTTAAATCTGTGAATGGGAAAAGAGCAAATTAATTTTAGCACAAAAATTAATGTCAAGTTGTGTTTTTTTTTTTTTTTTTAAGTGAGGCGGAGAAAACCCAAACCACCAACCAGCATGTTGAACTAGAGACAGCAGAGCATTTATTTCACACCTATCCTAGATTTGAAGCAGAACTAGGAAAATTTGAAAGTCCTTAAACTTTGATTAAGTGGTCTGTGGGTGTTCATTCTGTTTCTAAATCAAACTTTTAAAACTGTTTAAGAATTGAGAGCTGATGGGCTTTTGAGGATTTTGTGATTTGTTGATATGCTTGTGAGGACACAACAGCTGCTTTTGTTAATCAGCAATTCTACCTTAGTAAATTCAAGCCTTTTTTTTTTAACCTGGTGTACATGAAGTTTCTTAAGGATCTAATGCTTCCATGTACATTTCTTATGGTTTTACAGAGTTATTACTTGCAAATGTAGGTCAGATACATCACAAAAGGCATATAATATTATTTTGATAGAGTTTATTAGCAGCATGTATACAAATTAGTTTAGATAAATCATGCATTGTCCTACAAACTAGTTATTTCTGGCTTAATGTAATATAGCTCCTGAATTTTTTCCAGCAGCATAATAAAATGGCTAATCAGGTGAATGGTAATGCGGTACAGTTAAAAGAAGAGGAAGAACCAATGGATACTTCCAGTGTAACTCACACAGAACACTACAAGACACTGATAGAGGCAGGCCTCCCACAGAAGGTGGCAGAAAGACTTGATGAAATATTTCAGACAGGTATAATATGCATTTCTTGTTTCTGACTGGTTATGAAAGTGAGGGCAAACCACTTTGAATTTTATAGATTTTTTTTAAGGTTAAATAATACTTATTGTTTCTGATCTATGTAGAGCTGAATGTTTGTTACTTTCCCTTCATTGAGGGCATATTGGGTTTGACTTTGATATTCTTATTTCATTATTTTGAAGCCTTCTTAGTGTTGAATATGCAGTCTTCGTTGCTTCAGAACAGTACATCAATTTGTCTTAGGTTTACCACCAATTAAATTGTATGTTTCAGCATACCAAATTTTACATTTTCTTAATCTAAATCAGTCATCATTTTGCTTTTACTTTTCTACTTTTAGCTTCTTAAAGTGATTGTTAAATCATCAGCTTAGGTCTGATTAGGTGGCATAATAAGAGGACTGGTTAGACTGTATTGTCCGAAACGATAATAAATGTCAGACTTCTTGAGAGTTTGTGGCCTGTCTAGTTTCTAATAGACAAGAATCCACATCTCTCAGTAATTTGGAAGTGCTCGGTTTGTAACAGCTGCTTTTTTAAAAAAATCTAGAAGTCCCATGGACAAGTGCTTAAGCAAATCCGAATATCTTAATATGGTTGGTTGTAAGTGGTTTGAAGTTTTAAAGAGGGAGAGAAATATTTACCCTTAGGGAGTGTTGTTCATAAATAAACGTGTCCTCCCCCTTTGGGGCCATAGATGGAAACTTTCTTCCTCTGTGTTTTGTGTGCCTATCCAGATTTGGGAGAGAGAATTGAATTGTCTGACAAATGTGTCTTAAGTACTCTAGTAACAAATATCTGGTTTTTTTGTCCTTAAATTTTTTTTTTCAAATCTGAGAAGCTTAGGATAATTTTAGACATTAAAATGACTTTCTAAAAATGACTCCTGGGTGATGGTTCCATTTGAAAATCAGTCCTCAGGAACTTGCTGTGACATTCTGCCATAGAGAACTGGCAGTGATTTGCTCAGAGATGCTCTCTTGTAGAGTGTTTGTTATTGATAAGAGGCTGACGGTTTGGGTGTAGGGTTGGATTGACAGAATGGAGCGATGGGTGTCCTGAGTTGTGGCTTTGGGTGGTATGGAATATTGAAGTAAGGAAACTCCAATTATTTAGGCATGCTCATTTTGAGCTTTTAAAACAAATCTTGGCAACATTTTCTCAAAGTAACTTTACAAATGGCATTACATTTATTTAAAATATATTTACTGTATGGAATAATGTTCTTTTTGGCTTTATCAAAATGGAGTCACTTGATGTTAGTTCATACGGACTTGGGTTTTTAATCTGCCAAATATTTATTTCCATTTTACATTGGATCAATTCTGAAGTATATTCCTTATATAGAGAGAAATACAACACAAACATAACTAACTTAAGAAACTATATTATAAACTGAGTAGATGTTCTGTGTGCAGTTGATATATATATGTATAGATTGCAGTGCAAATATATTTTTCTGTATAGTTTACTTGTAAGCCCATAGTCAAGTCCTTAATGCCATTTGAAAAAATCGTCATTATTGACAGTGTTGTGAATGCCACAGAATCTTTTAAACCTCAACTTGACACACATCAAAAGAACAAAAGATTGCCTTAAAATACGACTTTCAGAATTGATTAATCAAGCTGCACTTGCATTTGTAGAAGAGTTTAAAATTATGCCTTTCCACATTCTGATTGCAGCAAAGTAGATGCTCAGATAAACAAATGAATTTCATTTTCTCTTTGGTGCTAAGGAGGAAAAGCCTTTGATACATCTTTTGGAGAGTGGAAAGAATTATTTAATAAAAATGGAAAAATGGTTTCTCTTCCTCCCCCCCCCCCCCCCACCTCTTGTGTGGTTAGCAACGACTACAACAGTCCATATAATTTGAAGGTTGATCCTTGGGGAATACAGTGTATACTTAACTACTCTAATATAAATCAAAATTTGTTATATTACTGCTTAATCTGTAGTACAGTGTGTGCATCAGATTTAACTTCCAAACCTTAAACCTTTTGGGGAGTGGGAAATGGGGTTAGGATTTTTGTGGGGTTTCTGTGGGATGTGGGGATTGAAATTCATGTTTATAAGTGTTGACATTTTATCTTTTATTTTTGTATTTGTACTCTTGACCTGTGTATATAGTATTTGTAGAGCTGCCTATATGCGTATTAAGTGAAAATGCAGTTTGTTAGTAATAGTATTGCATATAACAATTCTTGATTAAACGTTGGTAGCACAGTTTAGATTATACCCCTTTTGTTGCAGTAACATTACCCCTTTTCAATTTAATTTTTAGGATTGGTAGCTTATGTCGATCTTGATGAAAGAGCAATTGATGCTCTCAGGGAATTTAATGAAGAAGGAGCTCTGTCTGTACTGCAACAGTTCAAGGAAAGTGACTTATCCCATGTTCAGGTAAGGCCATTACTAGAAATGTCTTTGAACAACTAATGATCTGAAATCACTTTACCATTTTTTTTCCTGAGAGAGTTGGTATTTTTTTGTTTAAGAAAAATAATTTAAAGAAAAGAAAAACCTGCTTATGGCAAAGAGTTTTCAGAAACAAAAGGGTTAAGTAATAAGTCTCTCCCCCACTTTTTGCAGTAAGTTACTTTAAAAACTTAGGGTTTGCTCCTTGTTATTACTAGGTTTTTACATGTTTAAATTCCTGAGGTTTTAAACATTTTTGGGTTCTCTGCTTCTGTTTTATTATCTTGGAGGGAAATAATGTAGATAGGAATAGTTTTGGAATGTCTGGCAAAGATAGTCCAGATGCACTTGAATATGAACAAATGGAAGACTGATTCGCCAGTGTGGAGGGTAAGCTCCCTGAGGTCTTGGCTGTCTTACTGTGTCTGCTCCAGTCTCCGGCACATAGTAGACTCTCAGGAAATACTTGTTAAGTGAATAAATGGGTAAATCTTTTGTTCAAATTCTTGTCATTTGAAATTGTAATTTAACTATGTATTTGACCTTTCAACCATTCCTGGTGGTTCTTTTTCATTGAATTACTTGCCTGTTCTAGAACAAAAGTGCATTTTTATGTGGAGTTATGAAGACCTACAGGCAAAGGGAGAAGCAGGGGAGCAAGGTGCAAGAGTCCACAAAGGGACCTGATGAAGCAAAGATCAAGGTAAAACTTGACTGGGGTAGTTGTGATGATAATAAGTTTAATGATGAGATTGGATGGGGTGTTTTTCCCCCCATGTTTTCTAGAAAGTTTTTACAGTTCCACTTTTTTATTTTTAAACTAGTGTCTTGGAAATGAGATAATTTAAGGAAACTTACACAAGAAGAATTTCAGGGGCAAACATTTCAATTGTCTGGTGGAAAGCCCTAATTTACATTCTTTCCTCATTACTTGTTCTTCTGGTTGTGAATAATGCACGCTTATTGATGTTTTTGATAATAGCTTTTTAGATTGATTCAGTCATGTCTCTTGGTTTGATTTCTTTCTAGGCACTTTGTTTCTCTTCATCTACCTCAGTTTCTTTGTTTGCAAACTGGGAAGAGTGATAGTACCCATCCCATAGTGTTGTGAGGATTGAAAGTATTAAGATAATGTCACAGGCTTAGAATAGTGCCTGGAATGTAGCAAGAACTGTGTAACTAGCACCCATTACTGTTACTATTATTGAGATAAACTTCCCTGAAAGGTAAATATAGGGCTTTTGGTGAAAGACCAGTGAACCTAATTCCTTAGTTACATGGATATTGATGTTTTATTGCCACAGTGATAGACTTTTCATATTGAAAAAGTTACATTATTTGATGAAGTTGTTTGTATGGTTTTATGTTTTAGACAGGAAATAAAATTTGATGTTTCTATCATAGGACTGGTTTACATAGAGCTACTTTTGTACTTTTTTCCCCTCATTTATAAAATGGCATAACCCATTCTTTTAAGTATTAATTTATTTATTTTGAGAGAGAGAGAGTGGGACCAGGGGAGGGGCAGAGAGGGAGGGAGAGCGAGAATCCCAAGCAGGTTCCACGCTCTTAGAGCGGAGCCCAGTGCGGGGCTCAGACTCTTGAACCATGAGACCATGACCTGAGCCAAAAATCAAGAGTCCGATGTTTAACTCACTGAGCCACCCAGGCGCCCCTCTATTTTTAAAATAAATATGTGAGGAACATCTGGGTGGCTCCTGAGATAGAACCCCATGTGAGGCTCTGTGCTGACAGCACGGAGCCTTCTTGATTCTCTTTCTCCCTCTCTGCCCCTCCCCTGCTCGCACGCTTGCTCGCTCGCTCTCTCTCTCTCTCTCTCAAAATAAATAAACTTAAATAAATACATGAAAATTCCATTTGACATATAGTTATTTTTAGGAAAACTTATTAGCATGTATTGAATAGGCCTATGTTATTTCCTTCAAGCTGGGTATTTGCTCTTGGTAAGGTATGTATTATATATGTGATATGTGTATATTACATATTAGACAAGTAATGTGTACGCATGTAATATATGTATTGTGTTTTTATTATTTATCAACATGTTTTTCTGTGCTTAAAGGTAGAGCAGTTCTTTTTGAGTCAAAGGTAGAAGAACAGATAGCATAAGGTAATTCTTAAATCCCAGAGCTCCTCCAAAGATATTTTTGAAAACCACTAAACTTGATGATGTGTAAAGTCTCTTGTTGCTTTGACGTTGTGTATAGATCTTTCTCAACTTAGGATGGGGTTACGTCCAGATAAACCCATCTTAAGTTGATAAAAATATCCCAAGTTGTAAATGCACCTAATTACACTTAAGCTGCCAAACACTATAGCCTAGCCTACCTTTTTTTTTCTTTTTTAAGAGAGAGTGCGCATGTATATATGCACAAGCTGGGGAGGGGCAGAGGGAGAGTAAAGAGAATCTCAAGCAGCCTTCACACTCAGTGGACCCCGACCTCAGGACCTTATGACCGATATTAGGACCTCATAACTGTGAGATCATGACCTGAGCCAAAATCAAGAGTCTGACACTTAACTGACTTGCACCACCAAGGCACCCCTAGCCTAGTCTACCTTAAAGGGATTTAGACTTAACATTAGCCTAATTGGGTAAAATCATCTAACACAAAGGGTATTTTATAATGAAGTGTTAGATAATTCACATAAGTTAGAGAGCTCTGTACTGACAGTGAAAAACTGGTCGGTATGGGTACAGAATGGTTGTTCATGTATTGGTTACTTAACCGTGTGATTGCATGGCTTACAGGGAGCTGAGCCTCCCTGCCACAGCCCAGCATCATGAGAATATCATACTGCATGTTGCTAGCCTTGAAAAGATAAAGTCAAAGTATGAAGTGTGGTTTCTACTGAATGCATATCACTTTCACACCATCTTGAAGTCGAAGTCTTAGTTGGATCACCGCAAATCGGGGACCATCTCATTTTTGAAACATGAAGTGTAAAATTCTTCCCTATTTAGATACATTGCATTTCCTTTTTTTTTTTTTTTACCCATTTTGTCTGTTCTGTAGGCCTCTCCTATAAATATAAACTCTTAAAGGCAGGAACCATTACCTTTGTTTCTGCAATTCCTTTAATACCTAATGTGAAAAAAGTTGGTAATCAGGAAACATAAGGTTTTTGTTTGTTATTGAAACCTGAGTATACTCATTTGGTAGTGGTCAAATATTTTGAGTCCATGCTGTATGAGAAATGGTCTGGTTTTTACAGAACTTCTGGTATAGCAGGAAGTGAAAACAAGGATTAAACAAAATAAAGGTTAAATTACTTTACTAGAAAGTCAGAGTAGGAAGATGTGAGAAATAGTAAATGGGAGACACTGCATGAAGGAGGTAGGACTTCTGATTTTTTTTTAATTCATTTGTTCTTGAAAGAAAGCATGGGGGGGGAGGGAGGGAGAGAGAGAGGGAGAGGGAGGGAAGGAAGGGGAGAGAGAGAGAGAGAGAGAGAGAATGAGAGTATGAATCCCAAGCAGGCTCTGAACTGTCAGCATGGAGCCAGAGGGGCTCAAACCCATGAACCATGAGATCATGACCTGAACTGAAATCAAGAGTTGGATGTTTAACTGACTGAGCCACCCAGGCACCCTGGGACTTTGGATTTTTTAAGGGTAGAGAACATTTTATTTGAAATGAATCACAGGCGGATATATGGTATGTTAAGGGAACAAGTTCAGCAAAGCTCTCTGTGAAGTAGAGGAAAGTGCAAGTGCTGCAGCATGTAAGTGTGTGTAGATGTGTTCTGTCACATTTTTCATAATCCTTACCCCATTTTTCTGTTATTGTTCACAACAAAAATGTGTGCTTAGAGATTAAATTTGCCTACAATTCAAGTATAAACAGATGTATAATTATCTTTAGGCGTTGCTTGAGAGGACTGGCTATACTCTGGATGTAACCACAGGACAGAGGAAGTATGGTGGCCCTCCGCCAGACAGTGTGTACTCTGGTGTGCAACCAGGAATTGGAACAGAAGTAAGTATTCTTCAGCTGTTTGCCGAAATCTTTCCAGTTTGTAAATTATTCTGTTGTACGATGGGGAAGAATACTTGATTCTTTTCAAAGTGTAGTTATAATTAATTCTTTTTGGATATCCGTCTGTATTTTACTGTCCTCCTAAGCAAGGAGAATCATGTGACTAGTAGATACCCAAACACTTTGTAAAGGAATGTAGAGTTCTTAGAACTGGTTGCTAAAACCATGCAACCAACAACACGCTATTTTAGGTGCTTTCATGTCAGTGATTTTGAATAGTGCTTGTCCTCTCTCCCTGATCCACCCTCCTCACATAAAGGGTACTCCATATTTACTGAGAGACTTATTGATGGGAGTGGGTTACCCAAGGGAAGGATGTAGAATCAGATAAAAGAGCACATGGGCCTGTCCTTGAACAAAGAAGCAATTCTTCCTCCATATGTGTCTTTGTAAAGGTTTCCTTATATACCTTTAGGTTAGCCGGTTCTGATCGTTGAAATGGTAAAAACTGTGTGCCAAAATGTAAGTTTACAGCAGGACCTTTTCTAATTTGGTGTCTTTCAGGTAGCCACAAACAAAGATTATTATTTCTAGTTTGTGAATAAAGATATCACCAAATAACATAACTTTTTAGATTTATATCAGAAGTAATTCCAGTGTATTCTCTGTGTATAGAATAGAGTTTATATTCATTGGTCTTTGTTCCCTGAACTTTCAAACATAATTACAGTTAGTATGCTATTTCTTAATATTTAGCAGTATTAAAAGGACTCCAAGCATTTAAACATTTTCTTTAAAGATTTTTTTTTATTTTTAAATGATCTCCATACCAATGTGGGGCTCAGACTCACAACCCAAGATCAGTTGCACACCCAGCCAGGTACTCCAACCCATCCTTCATTTTTATGTTCTACTTAGATTGTGAACCCTTTCAAATCTACGCTTACGTTTTGTTTACTTTTAAACAATATGTAGTTTGGCTTTTTCACTTGAATTACTTCATAATGTAATTTTTCTCTTGGTTTTAAATTTTGTTTGCTTACCTTAAACCGTCATGTAAAATATGTAAAAAATGGAATTATTCCTTTGCCTCTTCCTTATCTTGAGGCTGCCTAAAACACCTCCAAGAGGGGAATACAGTCTGAAAAGGTTATCTGTAGTATAGCATCCAGCAAGTGATGTTCTTATTGATATTTACCAATTACTACATTTATCTTAGTCTTGTTTCTTTAACTAGTTATAAAATCCTTAGGAATAAAAATTAAGACTTCATATAATGTTATATTTTATATTGTTACTGCTTATTACATATTACTGTATGTTATAAAATATAATTAAAAACTTTTTATAGTTTATTTTATGATTATAAAAATGAACTTATTTAGCCCATTAGATTCGTTTTATTAATGAGCTCGTTAATGGAGACTTGTTCTATCTTTGTTTCATATAGATAAGAAAGGAATTTGTTAGTACTCTTAAGATTTCGCTGAAAGCATCTGAACCATTTAATAGGATAAGCTATTTTGAGTATCAAGTTAGAAACAACGTTGGTATCTTAATTGTAAAGTATGTTTAAGTTCTCTTATGTGGCATTGTCTCTGTGGAAAAGCTGCATTTTCCTACATACTAGGTATCCTCGCACAGAGCACATGTTATTGCAGTAAAGTCCCTGTGTGAGCCTAAGCCACTCCTGTCAAGCAGTTTGTTACAACAAAATCTTAGTATAAAGGTTTGGATTCTTCCTATAAAGTTAAATTTCATGAGATTTGGCCTATACTTGTTGAAAATTAAAGGTTTTTAAAAATCAGAAAAATAAGTTTTTAATTTATTAGGTTGCTAATTTAATAAATAATTTGGTTTTAGTTGGTGTCATTTTTGATGCTGTGAGGTTTAAGTTCTTGTTCTTTTGTGTTTCACTGCAGTCATTAAACATTTTTAGCTCTTGATTGAGGAAGCCGAAATAAGGGTCAGTGCCTGAGACTGACAGTAGTAAAATTCAGTTATGAGAAGACCAAGGTTTCATCTCTGGGCAAAATGTACTGTAAATTAATCCTATAAGTGAGCACTCCTTTGCAGACATTTTTACTTTTTATTTTATTTTATTTATTTTTTTATGTTTATTATTGAGACAGAAATAGAGCATGAGTGGGAGAAGGGCAGAGAGAGAGGGAGACACAGAATCCGAAGCAGGCTCTGGGCTCTGAGCTGTCAACACAGAGCCGGATGTGGGGCTCAAACCCACGAACTGTGAGATCATGACCTGAGCCAAAGTCGGACGCTTAACTGACTGAACCACCCAGGCGCCCCTGCAGACATTTTTAAACATTGCCCTGAAATGCAAAATATACAAGAAAAATAGGTATTAATTTTGAAGTGTATTTTTTAGTGTGTCTTGGCCTCAAATCAGGCCTGGTCATAGTAACTTTGTATTCTTCAGCTGGCATTGTATAACTGTTTTGGGAAGCAACTTCTATTTTTATTTGTTTGCATTATAATAAGCACTATGTTTAAAGAGCATAGCACTGATGTTTTGTAGAGCAATTCAAAGCAAATGGTACATTGAGATTTAATTCTTTGGTTTATTAACTAATGGAAGTGTGAGAGATCCAGTATATTTAATAGAGATGTGAAAGTATATGACTTAGTAGTACCTAAATTGAATTATGTATAAGGAAGAACTGCTGTGTTTGCAAAATAGCAAATAGGAGCTGGATGATGGAAGAAGCCAGTAGATACTCAAAAGACGATGTTATGCTGCCTCTTAACCTCTGTTCCTTCCAGAGCCTCAGAGGACTTTGTCTGTTACTGTTGAAATATTTGATGGATAGATAGTAGACAGCCAAAACTTTTTTCAAGCCTTGATACTTAATGAGTAAAGAAAGAACTGTTGTTACAGTGTTCATTAGATTCTGTTGGTTCTAATGCGGTCGTGGGGGGGTTGGTGAGGATTACCTGCACATGTCTGAGTGTTTACTCTAAACAGTTCATATGGGGGCACCTGGGTGGCTCAGTCAGTTAAGCGTCTGACTTAGGCTCAGGTCATGATCTCACGGTTTGTGGGTTTGGGCCCCGAGTCAGGCTCTGTGCTGACAGCTCAGAGCCTGGAGCCTGCTTTGGATTCTGTGTCTCCCTCTCTCTGACCCTCGCTGCTCACGCTGTCTCTCTCTCTCTCTCAGAAATAAATAAAACATTAAAAAAAAAAAAAGAGGTCTTTGCCTTTTAAAAAATAAATAAACAGTTTATATGGAGCCAGAATGGCTCAGGGACCAGCAAGTTAGTATAAGGAAAGCATTTCTATTTCATTTTAGTTAATTAAAAATTGAGCTTAGAAACTTGTAAAGGAATGATGCTTACTTAGTTTTTGAATACAATTTAGTTTTAGCCTTTTTAAGTTATTTTAATGTCCTAAATTAAACTGATCTTGAAATGAAGCCATCTCCTTTTTCTCAGTAAACCAGTATTATTATTTTTTTAATGTTTTATTTTTGAGAGAGAGCACACACACATGGAAGTGGGGAAGGGACAGAGAGAGAGGGAATCTGAGCAGGCTCTAGGCTCTGGGCCATCAGCACAGAGCCCGACTCAGGGCTCGAGTGTACAAGCAGTGAGATCATGACCTGACCGAAGTCAGATGATCAACTCAACTGAGCCACCCAGGCCCCCCTGTTATTATGTTTTTAATGTTTATTTAATTCTGAGAGAGAGAGTGTGTGAGCCAGGGAGGGGCCGAGAGAGAGCAAGACACAGAATCCAAAGCAGGCTTCAGGCTCCGAGCTGTCAGCAACAGAGCCCAACACGAGGCTTGAACCCATGAACTGTGAGATCATAACCTGAACCAAAGTCGAATGCTTAACCCACTGAGCCACCCAGGTGCCCCAGTAAACCAGTATTGTTAGCCTGTTTCTTCATGGACCCTAGTGATTATAATATTGGGGATTTGGTTGACTGAAGATTTGCTGATGTTTCTTCAAAAGTAAAACAGTATTGGGGCGCCTGGGTTACTCAGTTGGTTAAGTGTCCGATTTCAGCTCAGGTCATGATCTAACAGTTCGTGGGTTCGAGTCCCGCATTGGACTCTGTGCTGACAGCTAGCTCAGGGCTTGGAGCCTGCTTCAGATCTGTGCCTCCTCTCTCTGAGCCTTCCCTGCTTATGCTGTCTGTCTGTCTGTCTCTCTCTCTCCTCTCAGAAATAAATAAAACATTTTTTTTTAAAGTAAAACAGTATTCTTTAAAAAATCTGTAAGTTGGACTTCTAACATTCAAATGATATTTTAGAGTACAAGGAACTTGCTCTTATGAATCCTTTCTGTAGAGTGATTCATCAGTCATTAAGTTACTTTTTCTGAAAATATAGGTTTTTCACTTTAGGTTTGCTTAATGAGGTAAACTTTCTGGTTCTAAAAATATAGGCACAAATGTGATATAAATAGTATAATCTGACACCTAGCTTCCTCACTTAGCTGTGTGTCACCTGTGTTTTCATAGTGCCACTTTCTGTGCTCTTTCTTTGCTTTATTATATATTTGTAATGGGTATGGAAGAAATAGGGGTGGTGAAAAATGCAATTATAAAGCACCACTGCATTATGTTAATGGAAGCAGTCTGAAGCAGAATTTGCTTCCAAGAACAGTTTTTAAATATTCAAATACAAGTAACCTCAAATATAAAAATACTCTGCCCGGGATTAAACTTAAAAACAACTTCAACTTCGTTCTCCTCAAGAATATAGCAAGCCGTCAACAACTGGACCCAGAGAGCTTAGCCACACCAAAAAATAACACCTCAAAATGAATACCAGCTATCCTTCTATATTTTTTGTCTTAAGGTGCCTTTTATCAGTAGTTTGTTGTTGTTGTGTTTGTGTGTGTGTGTTTTTAGTGCTATGCCCAGTTAATGAATGCTCATTTATAGGATTGGTAATAAAGGATAGTATAGCTGAGGCTAGTGAGAAGTGGTTAGATTCTGTCAGGATTTATTGATGAGTTCGATAATGGGAGTAT